GAATATTGAAAGCACATCAGCTCAAGCGTTTTTTTCAGCACCAACTTTAGCTGAAGTATTAAATCATTTTCAAAATTTACATCGTGACGTTAAAGGTGATATCGTTGAAATGAACATTTTAAAAGGATTAGCGGATGTGTTACCAACAGAGTTTAGTGGTTTGGGGATCAATGGTGTAACAACTAGTAACGATTCTGTGGTATTGGACGAAAAAGATGATGATGATGTAGGTGAACTATTCTCGGTTTGGAATAATCACAATAACCAGGGAACATCAAATAAAAAATCGCGAATAAGAAGAGCAAGTACCACTGATATTTCAGATGTTAATTCGAGACGAACATTATATGGGTCACCAGCTATGGACTTCGTTGAAGAAACTACAACAAGGAAAAGAAAAGGAATTGATACAGAAAATAATAAGAACGCGTCAAAAAAGGTACTAACCTGTTTCTATCGCGTAATTTTACAATTAAAGTAATCTTTTTTTGTTTTGTCTTTTTTTTTTTTTTTGTCAATAGGCAAAAACACCAACTGTAAATATGACTGCTAGCGTGATACCGACACCATTCAGGATCATTCCAGGCCAAGGTTCTGAGTATTTACATGAAACACTTAACGAGGACGGGTATGATCTTTCAAGAAATTATAATTCATTGTGATAATTAATTTATCTTAATTTTTAAACAGTTTACGTTTTCTGAAAATTTAATAAGCTTCCAACATTCTACCGAATTTGATGAATCTATGCTGACTTCTTTCACCACATCGTTCTTCGCCCCGACTGATGATATAAATCTATCTACATCTTCCAATCCACTCGTGACTTATGCACAACACCGTATAACTACTGCTTATGACGCTATATCCCATCATCTAACAACACATACACAAGGAAAAATATCTCTTTATGAAAAGTCATGCCAAGAATATGAACTATTACTAGAAATACTTGATGCATTAGATGGTGTTGGTGATGAGGTGGCATTGGCGAAGATGTTAGAGAATTGGTTCGATGACGTTGAAGATAACGAATTTAATAATATCAACATCGAAACTATTGATGAAAGTCAACAAGTAAAGAAAATGACTAAGACCGAAAATAGTGAAGAGGTAAAGGATGATAAAAAGATCAAGAATGAAATTGAAATCAAGAGTGAAGATAGAGAAATAGAAGATTCTTCACTGAATACTAATGTTGGTGTCGTTACCGGAGAGGTAAGTTCGTCTTCTTCTGTCGAGGAGGGCGAAATCGAGGAAGAGGAAGAAATTGTAAATCATGATGGAGATGTTCTCAAAAAGAGTGACGAAATATCAACACTATCGCGCAACAAAACTATAATCTTAAAAAATTCTGAAGCAGGGAAAAACAAACTCGCCAGAGAGAGCAGTCCTGGGTGGGCATGGGATGATGAAGAAATTGGAGACTGATCCATCTTAACAGATATACATCAGAAACTGTGTATATACTCATGATGGTTTATTTATTTTATATCACTTGTGGTGTAAAAGATCTTGCTTTTTTGTATACTATATATTTTTGAACAAAACTCATCTTACTCTTCCCTTGATATTTATTTTATATCAATAGAATTCTTTGGTGACCCTAGCACATGTTTGCTTTTATGTATCGGAAAATATACAATATCCGAATTCACAAACTAAAACGTTTGTAAACAAATAAAATAAACAAGAAACCACGAGAGAAAAAAAAGCATAAATTTCTTAAACAAGAAATTTTGTAGGGATTAAAGACAATTTGTAAAAAAAAAAAAAAAAAAAAAAAAAAAAAACGGCAATCTGTTATCCGGAGGATACTCTGCACAAATAAATGTGTTCCATCTGTAATTATGGTGACGTAATTATTTGTTTTGTTTCCTAGTAAGATTTCTATTGGGACGCGGTTTTCAGTCTCAATTTTATTCGCGTTCTACAATAAACTGTTCACCCCCGTAAAACTCTGAATTTAATTAGTGAAATTTCACTAATATAAACTACATTGTTCTAATCATAACCTTAACTATAACGGGTTTTTTTAGCTTTAATTTACACGCAACGTTTTTAGAAAAGTGTTTACAAATTCACCCATATAGGTTAACTTTCCTGATTGGTCAATCATTTATAATTGTATTTACGTATACAGTTTAAAGTATCTTTTTAAGAATGTAACATTCACAAGTAAAAAAAAAAAAAAAATTATATTTTTGAAGAAGTATCAACAGTTACTATGCAAAATAATCCCACACCTAGAGGTACTGTACCTTGCCTAGAAGGTGAAATTTCTATGTATATTTTAACTATATAACTATATATAATTACTAAATCGTTAAATATTGGAAGAAAATTAACAATGCAGGTGATATTCAAGCTATATTAAAGTGGTTTTAAAATGTAAAGAACATTAATAATAACGTTTAAAACTTTATATACGCATATACTGTATAGATATTACAAGAAGGTTCTAATGAGTCTAGATTTTTAAACAAGGGTCACATCCAGTGTTTAAAATTCAAAATAAAAATCACTTGCACAAACATATGTTTTGTAAATTTGTGCAGTTTTTTGAAAAATTTTACTTCACACTAAGTAAATTTTTTAAAAACAATTTTAAACAAGCATGATGGAAAGTCGTTTTGATTGGCCAATGTGATACAATTGAGTGCCGATCGGTACACAAATTATTTATATTAGTTTTATAATACTCACTATATGAAAACGTAATCGCTCATATGACCTAAGCATGTTACCTACGATTGAATAATTTTTAGAAATCTGACTTTGTATAATATTAGCCAACTAGGCGTATAAAATAGGCTAAAATTTAAAAAATTTGCTATATAAAAATGCAACGTTTGATGAATTTCTATACAAAATTTTCTTTTTTAATAATTTTTAAGTTATATTGGAGTTCTTTGGGATCTTTAGAGCATTATATAAGATATACATATAATTTTTAGCTCTTGACACAGGTTAAAATGTGTTTTTATGTCAAATAGCTCTATATATAGATATCTATAACTATGTAGATAATTTTTTATCTAGTTAAAGAGGTGACAAAAATTAGTGGATTTTTTAGAAAAGGAAGGGAGTAAAAAATTTATAAAAACCTAATCAAGATATATAGTAAGAAAAGGAAGGGGAGTAAGTTTCTGATAAAAAAAATTAGATGATAAATGATACAGCCCTTAGCAGGTTTTTTATATCTGTGGATAAATTCTTTTAGATTTTAGATAGTCTTTTAATTTTTTTATAATTTGGTTGTTTTCTTTGTATATATATATATATATTTTTTCTTTCAGCAATCTTGTTTACTTTATTATAAGAACAGATTTTCATTCCTACATTGGTATATGAGGAAATCTAAAATCTATAATGTTCTAACCAAAGAGTAAATTTACTCTTGGTATATCTCGCAAATGCTAAAACATCCACTTGCGGTTAGGACAAACTATTAAACTGCTATATTTTGCCCAGATGTGACCTGCCTAGCAACACTTGCCCTTCTTCAGAGATTCAGAACTTACTCCAGACTTATTTTCTTCAGATTTCTCGGCTGGCTGTTGCTTGTCCTATCAAGATTTCCACTTTATAATAGAATATTGCCAAACTGATAACACTTTCTCATAGAGAAGGAAAAAAAAAAAAAAAGAATAATAGGGAATGATAAAAAAGGTATGTAATAAAAACAAATATATTAAAGAAAACGAATACTAATACTAAGAAATATAAAAAAACTAAACTAAAAATCTAAAAGAAACTATTGCTAAAAAGAAGAAAACCTGATAACCAAACGAAAACTTCTAATTATACAAAGTAACGATCTACTATTAAGTGCAAGAGTCTTGACAAAAATAAAACCATAAAACTAAAACAAAATGCACTATAACTCGTATCAAAGGCTAAAAATAATATACAAGGAACATATTATATATCTCAAAACACTTTGCTTGAATTTTCTCTATTAAATCCATATCTTTATCTAAAGGTATAAAGACTTTAAAAACTCTACGTAACTTGTTGTTATTATTTCATTCATTTTGTAACACATGCCGATTTGTCATCATCTACTTTCCTAATATAGAAGTGGTAAATAATGCTGATCTTTTGGAGAAGGTAAGCTGAATTTCTCACTTTTTGTCAAAAATTTTGAAGCCAAAAAACAGTAAGGAAATATTGAGTTTCTGCAAGTTTTTTAACCAAGGAGTGTTGTTCCAAGAGTTCTTTAAAGTCTTCTATCTTCAAACTAACTTTAGTTTTCTTTTCTACTTGCTGTTCCTAGAGACTCCTCTAGTTTGAATGCCAAATGCAAAGGGAAGTTCACCCCAGAAAATAGCAGTGAAACAAGGCTTGACCCCTTTGCAAACCATCCAAAATGCCTGCTTCTCAGTGTATCACATTTAAAGACTTCATTGACAACAGCTCGTATTGAGAAAACTTCAAGTTGTTGTTAACTTTTAGGCTTGAATCTTCAATTTGCTTTCAGTGTTAGGTTGGTACAAGTGATCATTGAGAAGAGTTTATATAATATTGTTTTATTATTATTGAATATATATATTTTTTTTTTATCTCTTTTTCATTTTATACTTATCTTTTTTTTTCTTTTTTATTTCTTTACAAGAAAGTATCATCAGATTGGTAGCACTTTATTATAAAGCAGTGATACTAACAAAGGTAGTAAAAACCATCTATTGATACTGGAACTCAAATCTTCAAAAAGTTGAGGATCTTGATAGAAAAAATATTCTGCTTCTGGGTTATACTTTAGCATTTAATCTTGGTGCGTTAGAATTATGTTGTGATAATGAGACAGATCAAGAAATTCTTTATTTGGACAAACATAAAATAGTTTATGACAGATAATATAGATTTAACTAACTGAGATATCTATTTGTAACCTATTGTCGATTTATAAAATAAAGAAAGAATCACTAAAGTAAAAAAAAAAAAGGTTTTATTAATATGTTTTTAAATATAGTAGCTAGCTAGCTTCTACTAAATCAATTATACAACTTCCAAAATAAAAAAATATTTTGAATTAGTATACTAAATATATGTTTTTTGCTTAATCTGAAAAACTTTATTCAAAATTCTTAAATGCTTTTATATATGATAATATTTTTTTAACTTCACTAAAAATCTATATTTAAAGCTTTTCTTTATAAACTTTATAAAGCAGTCTTTAGTTACCAACCTCACTCTAATGATATATTATAAGAATATATATTAACAAAAATGTTCTCTAATTGTTTTTAAAAAAAAACCTCTATGATGACTTTTACCAATAGTACCATTTGTTTATATAGCTAGACAGATATATCTGAAAACTCAATTTATGAATTTATAATTCTTAAGAAAAATTAAGAATATATTAAAAATATTATTAATTAATACAGAGCAACATTTTTTTGCTAAAATAGATTTCAAATGCTATTAGCAATTGTATATATCATTGACAATTCATCCATTATAAAGTTTATAAAAAATCTTCTAAATATATATAAGAATATTTATTTTATAATAATATATAGATGCATTATTTCAAGATACACACTTTAAAAATAACTAAAAATTAATTTAACTAAATATAAACAACAATTATTCTTTTTAAAAATCTTTAATTAAATTAATTTTTAGTTTTTTTAAGTTATGCATTTTAAAACAATGCCAAAGACATTATTTTAAGATAATATAATAAATTTTTAAATAACAATTTAGTTTTAAAATCTAATTTATATATACTTTTTTTTCTTAATAGAAAGAGTATCTAAATATTATTGCTATTAGATTCTGCTTATACTTATTCAATTTAATTACAAAAAACATTGCTAGTTTTACTAGTAAAATCAAAAGCTTATAAATTTCTTTATAGCTTTATATAGTGAATTGATTTGTTCAAAAATTCTTTACCCAAATTATCTGTCAGATGGACATTGTCCCATCCAGGTGAAAATAGGTCAGTTAAAAAAGGAGACCGCTCAGGTTATCTATAGGTTGTCCAACAGGTCATTTAAAAAAAACTATGGATGAAGAAGAAAATTTGTTATTTATACACTTTAAAGTACTTTATAATAGCACTTTTACTAATTACAAAAAATATTTATAACTTTAGAACAGCATCAATATATATTGCAAAAAATACTCTAAAAATAATCTTAATTTTGGCAAACATTGTTTAGAAGACAAAAAGTACTTACTATTTATTAAACAATCTTAAATTATACTAACAATAAAGATAAGTAAGAACGTTTTAGTTGATCTTTAGTATAGGTAGGCATATATAATTATTATACAATTATAACATATATAAATTAACTTTTTTGAACTAATTTAAGTAATTTTTTTTTTTTTATTTATGATTTTGCTGTATATATAATAAAATTAGTTACAATTTTTCTATCACGATGATATATTAATTTAACTATCTATTTATA